CGGTGAGATTTGAACCGCCGAACTGCAGAACTAGCAGTCAGCTGAAGTAGCCTGCAGTGCTGCGTTTAACCACTGCGCCACCTCGGCTCTTATGGGCCCATCTGGCACCCTGGAGAAAAGGGGAGGGCAACCCGAGGAATTGGGGGAGGAAGTGGGATGTGAGGAAGGCGTCCCCCGCGCTAGGCCGAGATTCATTTCTCGAACTGAGCCAGAGGGTAGTGTTCCCCGTATTGCTTCAGATGGCGCTCCAGGGAAGTCTGCTGTTTGGCGATGTGCCAGGGCATCTCGCTGTAGACGTCGGAGAAGAGGAACTGCAGTTTGGGCTTCAGCTTCCGCTCGGCCTCCTCGAGGGCCTCCATCACCTGGAGGAAGAGGGGTAAGGGGGAACGCGACAGTGAAGCAGAATAACGGTGTCGGAAGGGACCTTGGAGGTCATCTAGTCCCGGGGGGGGGGAATCTCCAACCTTGGCAACTTTAAGCCTGGCAGACTTCAACTCCCAGAATCCCCCAGGCGGCCAAGCGTGAAGTCCGCCAGGCTTAAAGTTGGAATGGGGAAAAGCTGGCTGGGGAATTCTGGGAGTTGAAGTCCGCCAGCCTTAAAGTTGCCCAAAATGGAGTCCTCCGTTCGAGTCCAGCTCAGGCACGGCTGTCACTCAAAGGGCTCCCACCAGTTGCTATTCCTTCCCCTTCAGCCAAAAAAGGACAGGAGGGTGTTACCAATTTGCCAGACCGTAACCCGGATTTATTTAACAGAATAACGAGAGAGTGGGAAGGGACCTTGGAGGTCTTCTAGTCGAACCCCCTGCTCAAGCAGGAGACCCTATGTCTTTTCAGACAAATCTCTTCTTAAAGACTTCCAGTGTTGGGGCATTCACAACTTCTGGTGGCAAGCTGTTCCACTGGTTAATTGTTCTCACTGTCAGGAAATTCCTCCTCCGTTCTAACTTGCTTCTCTCCTTGATTAGTTTCCACCCATTGCTTCTTATCCTGCCCTCAGGGGCTTTGGAGAATAGCTTGACCCCTCCTTCTTTGGCGCCCGCAAGGAAATTGAGTTTGAGTCCCCCCACCTGCCATAGACCTTCTCTCTGAGACTTTGGGGAAATTAATTGCCTTGGTCCTCCCCACACCGAGGCATGGAGCAGTGGTGGGTCGCAGGCGGTAACGCCCCGGTACGGAGCCTACCCCGAGTACCATCCCAGTTGGAACGGGATCCGGAACCCACCACTGGGGTAAGGGATTTCGGCCGCAGCCACTGACCCGCTTGCGCGATTTCTTCCGCCAGCTTTTCTCCTGCTCCTCGTCCCACCAGTTCCGGTTGGCCATGTAGTGACGCAGCCGTGAGATAGGGTGGTCCTGCTTGTCCCAGTAGTTGACCTCGTCCACCGAGCGGTAGGCGGAGCTGTCGTCGCTCGTGCTGTGGTGCCCGATCCTGGGAGAAGAAGGCGGTGGGGGACAAGGTAGATTTCGGCCGGACCCCTCCCTTCCAGCCCCCTGCGCTGATCTCCATTCCACCTTTCACCTCCAAACCTACCAGTGGTGGGATTCCAAAAATTTTACTACCCTGTTTCCCTGAAAATAAGAACCTCCCTGGATAATAAGCCCAATCGGGCTTTTAAGTGCATGCGCTAAAATAAGCCCTCCCTGTAAATACTGCAGCGCAGCAGCAGCCCTGAGGTGTCCATGCTTGTCATCTCCTGCACCTCAAATATAATAAGACCTTCTCAAAAATAAGGCCTTATTTTGGGGGGGTTGAAAGAAAATAAGACCCTGTCTTATTTTCTGGGAACCATGATACCAGTTTCATGGGAATGGCATGATGGGCGTGGCTTGGTGGGCATGGCAGGGGAAAGATACTGCAAAATCCCCATTCCCTCCCTATCAGCTGGGACTCCGGGAGGCAGAGAATAGAAGGGGGCAGGGCCAGCCAGAGGTGGCATTGGGTCAGTGATGGGATTCAATTTTTTTTTACTACTAGTTCTGTGGGTGTGGCTTGGTGGGCGTGGCAGGGGAAGATAACTGCAAAATCCACATTCCCTCCCTATCAGCTGGGACTCCGGGAGGCAGAGAATAGAAAGGGGTGGGGCCAGCCAGAGGTGGCATTGGGTCAGTGGTGGGATTCAATTTTTTTTACTACAGATTCTGTGGGCGTGGCTTGGTGGGCCTGGCAGGGGAAGATAACTGCAAAATCCACATTCCCTCCCTATCAGCTGGGACTCCGGGAGGCAGAGAATAGAAAGGGGTGGGGCCAGCCAGAGGTGGCATTGGGTCAGTGGTGGGATTCAATTTTTTTTACTACAGATTCTGTGGGCGTGGCTTGGTGGGCCTGGCAGGGGAAGATAACTGCAAAATCTCCATTCCCTCCCGATCACCTGGGACTCCGGGAGGCAGAGAACAGAAGGGGGCATGGCCAGCCAGAGGTGGCATTTACCGGTTCTCCGAACTACTCAAAAATTTACGCTACCGGTTCTCCAGAACCGGTCAGCACCTGCTGAATGTCACCTCTGCTACCACCTACCTGTAGGTCATGGCCTCGATGAGGAACGGCTGGTTCTCGGCAACGGCTCTGCGCCGGGCCTCCTTGGTGGCGTTATACACGGCAAAGACGTCGTTGCCATCCACCCGGATGGATTGGATGCCGTAACCGGGACCCCGGGCGGCTGCAGCTGCAAGAAGAGCTATCACCATCCTGGGTCTTTAGTCTTTCCAGGCCCCTTTTGCTAATTTTTATTTTTTTTTAATTTAAAGTTTAAATTTAAAAGTTAAGTTTAAAATCTACATTCAGGAAGGTTCTGGAGTCAGGATTCAGCTAGGCTGGCGGAGTGATTGCTAAAACAAGAACACAGGCCATTCTTAACTTACGACCGTTTGTTTAGTGGCCATTTGAAGTTACGACGGGGCTGAAAAAAAAGGGAGTTAGGACCATTTTTCACACTTACGACCACTGCAGTGTCCCCGCGGCCCTGGGGAGGGCTACTTCTGACTTCCTTAGGCTTAACAGACACAGCTTAAAACACACAGAGAGGAAGTCCTCAATTTACGACTGGAATTAGGACCAAGTGTTTCCGTCGCTAAGCTAGATGATTATTAGATCAGTGTTGCCTAATTTTAACTTCGTTTTGCCACGGTCGCTGAGCCAATTCACTTAACAACGGCAGTGACTCGTGCAGCCGTTACGCAGCCACTCTGTCGGTCGGAATCCAGGGAATGGCGATCCCAGGATCCCATGTGGGATGCTACCACCGTTGTAAATACATGCCGATTTGCCAAGCCCCTAAATTTCGATCACGTGACAAGGGGGCCTGCTGCATTCAATGGTCGTAAGGGTGAGGACCAGTCCCAAGTCACTTTTTTCAGTGGCGCTGTAAGTTTGAACGGTTGCTAAACAAACCGGTTGCAAGTTGAGGACTATCTGTAGTGTCATGAGGTTTTTATGTACCTACAGGTAGTCCTCGGCTTACAACATTTCATTTAGTGACGGTTCAAAGTTACAACGCCACCGCAAAAGGTAACCTATGACCATTTTTCGCATTTATGACGGTTGTAGCGCCCCGCGGCGGTGACACGATTTACTGTACATTCAGATGATTGGCAACTGACTCACATTTATGACGGCGACAGCGAACCTGGGGTGGGGGTGTCACGTGATCCCCTTTTGCGACCTTCTGACAAGCCACATCAATGGGGGAAGTCAGATTCACTTAACAACCGTGTCAGACAGTGATTCACTTAACAAACGAGGTGAGGCCAAGTCATGACATGGGGCGAAACCAACACCTCGCTTAACGACCTAAATTTCGGGCTCAACATCGGTCGTATGTCGCGGACGGCCTGTCTTCCCTTCCCCGACTGGGGAGTCTCACCGATTCCGTCGCCCCGGTATTGTTCGGATGTGGGAGTGGAGATGGCGTAGCCGTTGTTCCGGCAGAAAAATATCACCGGGCACTCGAGGGTGGCAGAAAAATTGAAGCCCGCGTGGGCGTCCCCCTCGCTGGACGTCCCTTCGCCGAAGTAGCAGATGACCACCCGGTTCGTATTCGCCCGCTTGAAGGCGTAGGCGGCCCCCACCGCTAGCAAGGGAAGGAGAGAAATGCCAGGCTGTTAATTCTTGGGGAGGGTTTCTCCCCCACCCCACAAATATAAAAGGCTGCCTTTGTTTGAGTTCCTCCATTTGGGGGTGTTGTGGCCCACCAGCAGAGGTGGTAGCAGATTCGGACAGTGGGGAGGTTGGGGAGGAAGATGGGCCAGTCCTGGAGTCTGGGGAAGGCTCGGATGAGGGCTCTGTGTCGGAGGCAGAGCGGGGGCCAGGGCCGTATGCCAGTTATCAGCAGAGTCAGACATCAGTGAGGCAGAAGAACAGCTGGAGCCTGTTCTCAGTGTGGGCATGCATAGAATTGCCAGATAACGGGAAGAACTAAGGAACAAGGGTCGATTTGGGAGTAAAGGCACAGGTGGACGGTGAATGGCCCCTCCCAGAGGATATAAAAAGAGGAGGGAAAGGGGAGGGGAGTTTGCAGGAGGCAATGAGTTCAACTCATTCGGGTGAAGATCTGTTCCTGGCTTTCTTGCCAAGGGACTGCCACTACAGCGTGGCGTTTGGAGGATATCGGCCTGGCAACGCCTCTGACGGTGCCTCACCTTGTGGGATCTGGGTGGCCAGCGGGGAGGAGATGGTGACGAAGTTCAAGTCTTTGCAGCCATAATGCACCGGCATCTGACGACCTTTTCCGGGGTCGCTGGTGTTGCCGTAGCATTGGGCCATAAACAGGTCCAGAGGATACCCCCTGTGCATCAGGACGCCTGGTGAAGGGAGAGAGGGAGGGAGAGAGAGACAGAGA